AAGGGGAAGCAAAGTTTTGCTTCCCCTGTTCTGTTACTCAGATCCAGCTGTGTCACGTCGTTGTCTCCCTGGCTGTGCGTGCTCCTTGTGTCTAAGTGTTCACTGCTGTTTCCAGGTCACCATGTTTCTTGATTTCTGTTCTGTCAGAGTTTCAGCTTTAGTGCAAAGGTTTAAAAATGGTATTAACTGTTTAGGAATTAGACCTATTTTTGTACAATAAAACCCATTTTTAGAGGCTCTGTGATAACTGGACAAACTAACATGATTTTTACTATCAAGTGTTTTGAAGGAAGGAAGGTTCAGGGCTTAAGCAATCAGCATCATGGGCTCATCCGGTTAGAATAAGAATAAGCAGTCATCTAATTATTCTCAGGGTTTTCCTTTTATCTCCAAACAATAAGGCAAAGAAGGAAAGAAAGACACACATGGACTGCTCTCTCTAAAAGGACATAAAGTACGATTAAGTAACTCAAAATGAACATGAACTCAGGAGACTCAAAGAGAAACCACTCAGCTGCCGCCCCATGTGGGAGGAAGAAAGAGTGAGGGGTAGGTGAGTGCAGTCCTTATATAACGAGTGACAGGTGAGTGCAATTAAGGCCAAGCACCACACCCAATCAAAGGTGAGGAAAAGAAACAAGGTGCATCTGGTGAAGTGAATGTGCTGAAAGGTGAGCCTTTACAACAGCCGCCCCCATATTTCTACTGAGAAATATGTTCAAAGGATTAGAGATGCTCTTTTTCACAAAGCGGGGGCAGAGGAATCAGACATGCTACAGGTCTAATATAGGTTCAGGGGTTGACCTAGAGATCGACAATGCAGGCTAGACAGTTCAGGGGGCCGACCATGTAACCAGCGGTGACGGCAAAGCAGGTCCAAATGCCAACCGCGTGGGATGCAGCGGCAGGCCCAGACCTGCAGACCGTTGGGCAGTTTTGCAGGTGCTGGGGGCAATGTACGGGGCTTGGCAGAGGCAGGACCAGGTGATGCAGGAGCAGGCAGCGCCCTGACCACTGGCGGAATGGCAGCCACAGGCGGTGGAACTGGTGATAGTGGCACTGCCGGTGACGACATAGGTACTGCTGATGGTAGAGTATGAGGTGGCTGAATGAATTCAGAGCCATCAGCGGACACAAGGATGTGCTGGAGCGGTTCTCCTGAACCTGAATTGGAAGATGTGAATAAACATTGGGCATGCGTGGAACTGCTCTGGGGTTGGAAGTCTGTGATTGGACCTTGGAGTGTCCATCCTAAGTGGGTTTTGACTGCTGCAGGAGATCCAAATGGTCCATGTCTAACTGGTGCAATAGGCGTAATAAGGTGGGTATGATCAGAGCCTATGAGCAGTAGTGGAACTGCTTTGTTAATGAAGGTTAATGGGATACCTTGAAGATGCTTGTATCTCCGTTGAAGAGAGGATACGGGGTAGGTGTGGTCTGAAAGTGCTAAGTGACTTGTAGCGAAGGCATTGTTAATTGTGTAAGTTTTCTCTGGATGTGCGATGGGTGAGATCTGGAAACTTACGCAAGAACCTTGAATGGTTTCAACTTCTTGATGGACAGTTCTAAGTGATAATTTTACAGCTTTCCCAGTTAGGTGGAGATGCTTAGCTGCAGATGTCAGAAGCATGGTACGTTGGGAGCCATCGTCAAGTATTGCATATGTTTCCAGGGTTCTTTTGCCATTACGCAGGAGCACTTTCACAACCTTTAAAAGGACACTAGGGCGATTGCTAGGTCTATCAAAGTACAGTGTCCTCACTACAGGATTAGTTTCAGTTCTAGGTCTCTGATTCACCTCACATAGGATCTGTAGATGTCTTTCCATGCAGGTGGCACATGCTTTCCTCAGATCACACTTCGCAGCCTGATGAGTTCTAGCACAACGCCAGCACCGTTTGTTTCTCCTTATCCAGTTTATTTTCTCATCCTTTGTCTTGTTAATGAACTCAGGGCACTTGCTAATGTGGTGTTCAGGTGAGCAGCAATATGCACATCTAGCCTTAGTCATTATGATGGGTTGTGCTGCCTGTACAGGATCGGATGCATTTGTCCCATGTAATATTGTTGTGAGTGGAGAGGTGTACTTATGGGCAGGTCGTGGCTGGTTAAAGGATGAAACAGGACTGTCCTTTCTTGGTTGACACTTGAATTCAATTTGCGATGAGAACAAAGGTAAGTCATACGTATATCTCCTTGTTCCCTGTAAATATGCCGTTTGAAGCGACTGGAATGCTCTGCGGGCAACTTTTCAAGTAGGCGATCGACATGGGAGCCACAATTTAGTTCTGTCCGTCCTTGATCACCCATAGTGCTAAGCAAACCAACTAAAGCTTGTACACGAAGAGCAAAATTATCCAGAGTCCGACCATCACCTGCTCTGATAGGAGGAAGCTCCAGTATATTCCGTAGCTCTTTCAATGCTAGCTGTCTTGGTTGCCCATAATGCTAATCAAGAGCTTTGATGGCTTGAGTGTATGGGTCAGGAGCATAGGAAAAGGAAATAGCTAACCGTTTAGCTTGGTCTACTTTCAGATGATCAAGAAGGACATGATATTTGAAATGCTCTGTGTCATGAGGGTCAAGCAGGTTAGTAAGGGCCATTCGTAACAGCCTATACTGGATTTCATCTTCTCTGGTAAGGTCTGGGAAAGAAGGACCCTCAAGTTTATACACATGTGTTCTAGTGCTAACAGGGTGACTAGAACTAGCAGTAATGGGTACTGAAGGGTTTTGTGCATGCAAACCATCAGATGTAGCTGGTTGCTGCTTTACAGGAGGGTGCTGCCTTGGTTCCGGAATGCAAACGAGAGGTTGAGCAGGGTCTTCATCTAGAGGAACAGCAGGTTGAACACATGAAATCTGGTGGGGACCTTGCAGTGGTGTGGCCAGGAAATTAAAAGGAGTCTCATCTGGTGTAGGAAAAACTGGTCTAGGCAAACCACTTGAAGGAACTGCAGCATCTAATATTGTTGAATTAGGGAAAGAAGGGCTAGCAGCCAGAACTGCACCAGAGTGACGGCTAACCTGGGGGGCTGAGAGGTGATTGACATGTTGCTGGATCAATCACTGGGAACTGCTCATGTTGCTGATGTGTTTGGGGAATGGCTTGTAAACCGCAAACAGAGGATTTGCTTTCATCAGAGACAGTGTGAATTGAAGATCTGGAGGAACTGTGAGAATGGGGAGGAGATAACTGAATCATGAATTGCCTAATCTCCCTCATTGTCATCAGGAGTTCCCTCATCACCTCATCTTGATTGGTGGGTAAAGGAGCAGGGGATGTCTCTGGTTGTCTTTCTGACTCTCCGACAGGATCCTGCAGCCCATGTGTGTCTTTGTCACTATGTTGGCATTCTGTTTGACTCTCTGTCTCACATGTAGCTCTTCTAGCTCCAGGATACTGAACGTCATACTGCTGCAGGTAGGCAGGAGGTCGACTATCACGAATGGATCTTCTCAAACCTTCAGTCAATGGCTGCTTTGAATCCATGACGCTAATACCACTCCAGCTCGGAGGACCATGTTTTGAAGGGAGGAAGGTTCAGGGCTGAAGCAATCAGCATCATGGGCTCATCCGGTTAGAATAAGATAAGCAGTCATCTAATTATTCTCAGGGTTTTCCTTTTATTCTCCAAATCAATAAGGCAAAGAAGGAAAGAAAGACACACATGGACTGCTCTCTCTAAAAAGGACATAAAGTACGATTTAAGTAACTCAAAATGATACATGAACTCAGGAGACTCAAAGAGAAACTCACCTCAGCTGCCGCCCCATGTGGGAGTGAAGAAAGAGTGAGGGGTAGGTGAGTGCAGTCCTTATATAACGAGTGACAGGTGAGTGCAATTAAGGCCAAGCACCACACCCAATCAAAGGTGAGGAAAAGAAACAAGGTGCATCTGGTGAAGTGAATGTGCTGAAAGGTGAGCCTTTACAACATCAAGATTGCTTTTTAATGTTTGGAAGAAAATCATTTGCAGTCAGTGCCTGCCAGCACTCAGCTAGGCATAACCAAATGTTGCTTTTCCCATATGTTTTGGGTTATTATCTATTTGCAGTGTAAAGGGTCCACTCCTTTTTACAACATTTGGCTGAATCTGAGCAGGGAGTATAACTCCGTATACCTCACAATTCATCTTGTGGCTTCTATCAGCAGTCACATTATTAACAGCGAGCCAGCTCCACTGACAGTCGTACAGGCCTGTGCCATAATGTTGCCTCCACCATGTTTGACGGATGATGTCGTCTGTTTCAGATCATGAGCTGTGTCTCCCCTTCTTCATACTTTTCCTAACCTGTTGTTCCAGTTTCCTAGTGTAACTAGTGGTTTTCATCTTGTTCTAAACCGTCTGGATTTACATTTATGAAGGCATCTCGTGATTGCAGACCTCGACAGTGATACAATCAAGAGTGTTCTTGGTTCTTGGTCAAGTTAATTATCCAGGGACTTTTGAGTCTCTGAACATGGAGAACTATGCATAAAAAATTACTGTAATTTCTAAACAGATAATATAATATTCTGATTAACCCCCTGAATTTAACCTGAAATTCAAAACTTCAGTCACAGCTTGATTTATTTTTCATTTAAAATCCACTATAGTTGTATACAGCGGTAAAGTCACACAACCTCTGTAACTGTCCAAATACTTGTGGATCAGAGTGTAAGTAAGTGTATTTGGTAAATTATTGCTACAATTCATTTATTCTAGTTTAAAAAAGATGTCTTCTGAATTCACCAGTGATTACTAGTAAAAAAAAAAAAGACAAGAAAAAAACATGTCTTTCTTTTCAGAAGGACAGGTGGCATAAGGAGCAGGTACGTTTTAGGTTAAAGCGGGCACACGACTCTCTTCGAACAGACTTTTTCACCGTTTTCCATTTAAAAAATGTTTTGAATGTGTAAAAAGGGATGAGAAATAACTCATTTATTTCTCACAGCGAGAATCAGAATGTGTTCATAAAAAAAATTATTTGGCTCTGACGTGCGCTCGGAGGGTGGAACCTGTATCACGAGTCCTGTTACGCAAGCAGGAAGACTGTTTTTTCTATAGCCAGAAGAAACTCTAGTTTTCATCACGCGCAGCAGAGGCCTGTGAGTATAAAGCGGTCTGCAGTGTTTTGTTTTGCAGACAGAAGCTCCGCGTGGATTCTTTGTTATTGGTTATTTATGTGCAACGTCATGAACTTTACTGCAGTAAAATGGCTGTTCTGAGTTTTGGTGCAGGAGGGGTTGGCCTTCGTTGATTATCTGATGTAATGATAAGTTTCGTTTGTGCCTCGCAGCTTCATTCGCGTCAGTCCCATCATGGCCGAAGTGGACGAGTCTCAGTTTTCTATCATGAGTCTGGAGGATGAGCTGACCTGCAGCATCTGTCTGAGCACCTTTGACTGTCCGGTGACCATCCCCTGCGGACACAACTTCTGCCAGGACTGCCTGCTCGCCAGCTGGGAGGACTCGTACAGCTGCCCTCAGTGTCGAACCGTGTTCGACACCAAACCCGAGCTGAAGAAAAACACGGTCCTCATCGCCGTCGTGGAGACCTTTAAATTGAGATCGAGCAAGAGCGAAGACAACCTGAATGAAGAGGAGAGCGAAGAGGAGAGAGGCTATGAGAGCGAAGAGGAGAGAGGAGAGGAGAGCGAAGAAGCGAGCGAAGGGGAGAGCGAAGAAGCGAGCGAAGGGGAGAGCGAAGAAGTGAGCGAAGAGGAGAGAGAAGAAGAAAGCGAAGAAGAGAGCGAAGCGGAGAAAGACGATGTCATCCGCTGTGATACCTGCATGGAAGCAGAAGCATCGAAGACCTGCCTCACCTGCATGGCGTCTTACTGTGAGGAGCACCTGCGCCCTCACCGGGAAAACCCCGTCTTCCATCTCCACGAGCTGAGCGAGCCTGTCGGGGACCTATCGGAGCGCATCTGCTCCGACCACCACAAGCTGATGGAGTTCTTCTGCAGCCAGCATGACCGTCTGATTTGCAGCTTCTGCCTCCAGCATATCCACAAAGGATGCTCTTTCTTAACTCCGGAGGAGCAGAGGAACCTGAAGGAGGTGTGTTTGCATTCACATTGACGATTGTACTGTATTAAACACTGACTTATGTACAGAGTTAACTGTTTCTCCTTAATTCATACATGTTTTAACTTATTTAATTTGTAATATTATAAATCAATATGTTGGTGTGTATATCTTTAAACAAAGATGACAGTCAGCTGACTTCCTGGAGAGGAAACATTCCATCTGTATAAAAAAGATGGAAGTGGGTTCATACCTGAAAAGGGACCCTTGTGTACAACTGTTTGTAAATGACAGCCAAGTTCAAGTCTTCCTTGCTTTAACAAGTTTTTCTTAGTGTTGTATGCCAGGCATTGAGCTGTGTCTGCTTTGATCTCAGGCTGTATATTTAACACCACTGCTTTAGGCTGATGGATCAGGTTGTATTACACTTCTTTTTCCACAATATCTGATTCAATGACTTTGGCCCACACATCTCTAGTCAAGGCAACACTAGAAACAGATAAGAATGACCTCATTATAAATAAAGTTTAACAATTCAAAATATTTCCGCATGTAAGATGTAGTGGAAAAATGAAATAATGGAATAATGCAGATGGTGGACATGCAGTCAAAGCATTACTTGCAAAGTTCTCCAGGCCCTCTGAGCAGTGTCTGTATGGAATTTGTGCACTTAAGCTGTTCTGTGTCTGTTCTTATAGTCTGACCTCAGAGACAAGTTGGGTTTGCTGAATGAGAAAATGGAGAAGACTGAAAATGTTGTGTTTCAAATGAACAACATGCAGAGTATGCTGAAGGTAATTTCCACATGTCATACAGAGACAAAGTAAATGTGCTGGCAGTAACTATGAAAAACTCACTGTTGTCATATCTTATTGTCACTGTTCCAGGATGGAGCAAACAAAAGAAAGACGGCACTCGCAGCTGTCTATCAGCAGATGAGGGACATCTTGGCTCAAGATGAACGCGAGGCCCAAACTGAGGTGGACCGTGAGCTGGAGCTCGGTCAGATGAAACTTCGGGATCTCACAAAGAAGTTCGACGAAAACTATAATAGGATGGGAAAAGCCAGAGAAGATATCAACAGGCTGATGAGTCAATCCCAAACCTCGGCTTTTCTACAGGTGAGACGAACACCCGTGGAAAACTTAAACTAAAGAATAAGATAGAATGGGCGTGGTTAAGTTAAATAATTAGGAAGTTTAAATAAAAACCTTTCTTTTGCCCCCACAGGCTTCAGTTGTGTTGCCCAAAGTTGTAAAGTTTGAGCCTCACGTGCTCGAATCAATCTGGACTCCAAGAAGGTGATAGCGACGCAGAGCTTTGCTGCAGCCCTGAGGGAGACTCTGATGGAGATGCTTAAACAGCCAGTTGAGGCCAGATTACCATTCTTTAAAGCAGGTCTGTGTGCAGGCACGCATTAGCAGAAAATTTAAATTTGGATTAATATTCTAAAAGATTAACGAAGCCAATCATTTTCACGTTCTGATGCAGATCTTAACACTGGTGCATTTGGGGATTCTGGTGAGTTTCTGTCTTGTGGAAAATACTGTTGAGGATTTTCTGTTAAATGCTCATGAATTTATTCTTCTTCAGTGGTGACTATTTCTTGGGAAGTATTTTGGGAAGCACTCTTTAAATGTAACCTTTGTTTTTAACAGGTGAAACAGCAGCTCCTGTCTCCAGACCAGAAAGTGCTGGAGGTAGTGAATCCCAGCCAAATTCTGGTAAGTTTATATCAGCGAGGAGTTATTATAGGATGATATTTGAATACAGTAACATGTGAACTGAAAGAGTATCTGAAAACATCTGCCAATATGGACTATCTCTAGTGTGATACAGGTATTCACTGTAACTATAATTTAAAAGACATCTCATGTTAATAATACACGTACGATAACGTGGTCTTGTTGTACAGCTATAATTACTGACTACACCTCCCTGCACTTGTTATTTGAGTGTATTTGCAAGAGAAGGCACACTGTGTAAAAAAACGTATATTACATTTTTATTTAAAATACTGCAAATCATATTGTAATATCGTTAATTTCCTTCCTCAAGCACATACGTGAAAACTATTTAAAACATTACAAGCACTTTGTGACACGTGATTCTTTACAGTGTGATAAAGATGTTCAGAGTGCGTTCTCATTTCACTGTTTCATTACTCAGCAGCGCCTCAGCAGAGAAGCAACCCCTCGTTCCAAAGTCCACTGAGCAGTCCACCCATCCAGCCGTACTACCAGCCGGTTCCCATCCCCGTTTTTATTAGACCACAGCAAAGATGGAATCCACCCCATTATCCACAGGCCCAACCTCGATTGCAACATTTTGGGCAACCTCGATTTTATGCCCAACAAAACACAAGTAAGATACAACCTAAAATCTCTCTCTTACACACACACGTCTGTAATGACAAAAATCATATATGTCTGTGTAAACAGCTTAGTCTCCAATCACCACAAACGGGACAATGTGTTAATTAATTGGTGCCCTAACAGCTAATTAAAAATTCAATGACACATAATACCTACCCTTTGCAAGCCAGCTTATAAATGATAAAAGACAGAAGCAAGATGAAGCCCCATTTTTTTAATAAACAGTATAAGATTTATCCAGGATATGACTTGTTACACACATTGAAGGAACACCTTTGTTTTATTTCAGCCTGATATGAAATCACATCTACTAAAAGTCAGTGTGCTTAAGGCAAACTCGATCAATCTGATAGTGCATTTAGTGTTTTAACAACTTACCACTGGGCATGTCTCTGTTCTGAAAGACAACCATGATCGCGCAGTCAGTTAAACATGTGAAGAAGGTCTGTGAAGACCTAGACAGGGATTGGTTCTAAAATTACCTTACTTCATCGCCCATACTCACCCAGAAGCTTACGGACATTTGTAGATGTCCTTCATGGTTTGACAGTAATAGAATGCAGCTAGGCACTTTTACAAGCTATTAGGCACACTTTGAGGCCGAGTCCTCCCATAACCAGTAAACCCATCATAAATTATTTAAACTTTCAAAGTATAAAAGACACATGTCAAAACGAGCCTTGTGCCAAAGTGTTGTCTTCATTCCTGGCAGTCATTATTAAGATTGAGGTCATAAACTGATCGACCGTAACATTAAAGCCAGTATTGTGTAGATCCTCATTGTGGTGCAAAAGCAGCTCTGACACATTTGTGTTTGCTGTGGCGTCTGGAAAGATTCAGCTTGTTCATGCAGATGCTCAGCTGGATTTTGGTCTGTGGAGTTTGGAGTTTAAGTCGATGGGCTGAACTTTATTATGTTCTTCAATCTGCTCCTAAGCAGTTTTAAAGGTGTGGCAAATCTTCCTGGTGGGGGAGACCACTGCTGATGGGGAGTGCTGTTGCCATGATGAGGAGTGCTTACTCTGAAATGTTTAGGTTGGTTGGCGCACGTCAAAATAATATCCAAATGAATGTTTGGACCCAAAGTTTAAGAACACTCAATTGATTAACTGCAATAAAAAGCACACCATGATAACAGTGATAAGTCCTCATAAAAAAAAGAGGAATTATGGATTTGATCAACTGGTCCCTGAATGAAATTGACACCCTCTTCTCAACGAGAAGCCTGAGCTCAGGTGAGTCTGAGTGTCCTGGAGGGACTTTCCCTGCTGGATACACGATGGACGGGTGGCATAACTGGAGGGTCGTGTGCCTGGCGGGACTGTCGATCGAGGACATTGAAGTTATCTACCTTTTCGGAACCATGATAACAGGGTTTTGCTGATCGGAGCTGGCTTGGCCCTGGCTTATCGAAGATTAAAGAAAGCGGAATCGGCTGTTCAAACCCCCACAAGGCTGCCCGCTGTGATTGAAATGATGGGATGAGTCATGCGTTCTTAAAATGGGCTCATTGAGCGCAGCACGGATAAGATCTTGGAGAAGCTTGAGGCTGCCGTGAACGCTCAGAATAAGACCTCTGAGCGAAAATTGGATTACATCCTTGAGAAGCTCACAGCGGTTGTGAGTTCTCAGAATCTGCTCTTTGAGCGCAAGAATGACAACATCATGGAGAAGCTCACCTGCTCTCCAACGGGAGATTGAGAGACCAGTGTCGGACTGTTAGAACAGCTTTGAAATTCCAATGAGTTGTTTGCACTAAAGTAAAAACCACCATTATTTCATGCGGCTACCACTTCAGCGCCAGCTGTGGTCTCAAGGCTGGATCTGAACAAAAAACTCCCTGATAACAGACTGTTCTTCCTATCCTACGCAAGGCCACCGGGGTTGGCTGGAAGACTGTTTACTTAGCCTGGCAGGGCAAAGGACACTGTCTCAGCTGAACTCTGGAGACACACACACACACACACACATACATACATATGCAGATATCCTTCCCCGGATCCAACGCCTCCTGCCATGCTTACCTCCCTGTCGATGGAGACAGCGGCTCAGCTGGAGGCGCGAGGAATTGCAGCGTCTGCGACCACTGTGTACATTACAGTTCAGTATGCCGTGCGTGTCTGCAGCAGTCCTCAACAGTGAAGTTAACAGCAGCAGTAACCAAAGTTCTGGAACCTTTCCAATAAAAACAGCTTCTCATTGAGCAGATGTTGTATGTTGGGTTTGTAAATGTGCCTGTTTCTACTCTGGTCGAAAGAATCCACGCTTCGTACTGATGTCCACAATTCTTTTATTCCTCTCACAATCATGGAGCACCGTGAAACTAGAAACAAGTAAAATAATATCAATAACACATATGATATTCATCTCAGCCACTTATTTCCTTTCACAAGGTGCACAAGTGTTAAACAAATAACAGCATAATGATTTTTTTACCGTGTACGCCTTGTAAACCCAGCAGTAGAAAAGTTGTATATTCCGAAAAGTCCGCCGTGTTACCGTTCTGTCTTGTCTCTCCCGCGCACAACTTCCGGTTCCCGCAACTCACAGGAAGTGACTACTTCACAATAATATTTTAACAGAAACATTTCTTATAAGCAGGATATATCACTGGATTCATAGATTACATTCCTACTGCAAATGTACACAAGCATGAGAAGCAAATAAAGAAAACAAATAGAAAACAATAACGATCTCAGATTCACTTTGGTGTTGTCATGGCAACCCACACAAACATTTCAGCGTCAGCTACACTCCCACCAATTACCTTTGATTATTACAATGAGAACGTAAATACACTTGCATTTCTCATTATATCAATGGTAATTCCCAAGCACCATGTTGTTGTTTTAAACATTCTGCATTGACATAAACAATATTCTTTTCTCAACAAATGAATTCAACAATATGAACAGTAGATTTTACATCTCCATAACATGTGCATGAAGTACAGCATAATGACAACTTCTATTTTAGAAGGGAAATCTAATCAATGAATGACATTTTTCCCATTTAGCTGTTTTTCACCAGGACCACTAATTTCTGAATGGGTCTCTGAATGATTGAGGGTTGGACGAGGCGTTCGCCTCCCTTTCCTAACTTCCGATCACCAGTCTGGATTGTCACCTTCCGTACAAGTCCATCATCATCCTCATGTGCTTCCACAACCCTAGCAAGTTTCCATTCATTGCGAGGAACATCTTCCTCTTTGAGAATCACAATGTCACCCACCTCCACATTACGTCTTGGTGTATGCCATCGCTGTCTCAGAGCAATATTGGCCAGGTATTCCTTTCTCCATCTGTGCCAAAATTGCTCAGTCAAATACTGTACCCTTCTCCACCGTTTCTTAGCATACAGGTCCTCCTTGACGAATTTACCTGGAGGTGGAAGTGGGACTGAGGATTTCATGGTGATCAAGTGGTTCGGTGTGAGTGGCTCCAAGCTTTTGGGGTCATTGATGTTATCAACAGTGAGTGGGCGGTTATTCACGATGCACATAGCTTCATAAAGGAATGTCCTCAATGAAGCATCATCCAACCTTCCCACACTGCAGGCAAGGACTGTGCTCAGTACGCTTCTCACTGTCCGGATTTGACGCTCCCATGCGCCTCCAGCATGACTAGAGTGGGGCGTATTCATCTGGAAGTCGCACTGATTTTCTGCTAGGTATGCAGTCACTCTTTCCTTATCAAGTTCTTTCAGAGCCTTGCCATCTCGTTTCTTGCCCCCATAAAGTTAGTTCCCTGATCGGACCTAATGTGCCTAACAGCTCCACGAAGGGCAATGAAGCAGCGCAAGGCATTGATGAATGCGTCAGTCGTCAAATCCTCCAACATCTCTATATGCACTGCCCTTGAGCAAAAACATGTGAAGAGGAGGCCGTACCGTTTTTGATCTTTGCGACCTTGTTTGGTGTGAAAAGGACCAAAGCAGTCCATACCACAATAAGTGAATGGTGGTGTGGGATCAACACGGTCACTAGGTAGATCTGCCATCCGTTGCTCCTCTGGTGGCGCGCGGGCTCTCCTGCACTGTACGCACTGCCTGATGTATTGGGCTACAGCCTTACTTCCACCAGTGATCCAGTAACCATTGGCTCTCAGGGCATTGAGGGTTTGTCCTCTGCCTTGGTGTTGTATCTTGGTATGATGGTGTGCAATGATGAGGTTGTAACAGCACCATCTTTAGGAAGGATCACTGGGTGTCTTAACTCAAGAGGCACAGATGCCTTCCTCAGTCTTCCTCCTACTCTCATTATGCCATCTTGGAGAAATGGGTCAAGCTGAAAGAGTTGGTGGTTGCAAGGCAGCCTTCCTAGTTTCTGGCTGAGTGTGTTTAACTCCTCTTGAAAGGCATCTTGTTGTGCAAGCTTGACGAGAGTCTGTGCAGCTTGCTTTCTCTCTTCCACGCTTAAAGGCTCAGCGGTCCTGATCCTCTTTGCCAGCCGCTGGATACGAGCAATGACGTTGACAGCTGTAGTCCATCTTGAGAACCGCAGCAGATGCTTCTGGATGTCAAACTGCCTTGCTACATCAACCTTCAACACCTGAGTAGTCCTCACCTCTGGGTCTCCCACCAGCAAATCTGAAGTAGCCTGTTTTGTGGCTATCTCTCTTTCCCATAGAAAGCTGGGACCAGAGAACCAATTTGACTTGATGAGGTCAGCTACTTGAGGCCTCTCGAGGCATGATCAGCAGGGTTTTCTCCTGTGTCAACATAGTACCATTTCCGTGCATCGGTGGTTTCTCGAATTCTCTGCACGCGGTTTGCCACGAACACATGGAACCTTCTTGCTTCATTATTGATGTAACCAAGCACGACCTTTGAGTCTGTCCAAAAATATTCGTCATCAACCTTGAGTTCTAGCTCCTCTCTTAACATGCTGCTCACAGATGCCGAGGTTACTGCTGCAGTTAACTCAAGTCTCGGTATGGTAACTATTTTGGTTGGTGCAACCCTCGCCTTGCCCATGACCAAGGAGCAGCA